AATTCGGTCAGTAAATTTATATCCTTTTCACTTATCTCTGACAAGTCCATATTCTTCAGTATGAAATTAATTACTTGTCGCACTTTTGGAATGTCAGATTTTATTTCTTCAACATTTTCGGCGGCAACTATGGATTCCATTTCAATCACATTGTCGACTAAGTCTCTTGATTGAAGATCAATTTCTTTCTGGTTCAGTTGTTCTGTATTTTTGCGGTCCCTCATTCTAGCTTGTCTTAGTTCATTGATATCAATTTTATTTGATTTCGCAAGAAAATCAAGTTCCTGAAGCGAGAATTTCACCGTATCTACCATCGTTTTCAATTCTTGACAGTCAAATTCTGGTACTTTGTCATCTAATTCACCCGTTTTTACTGTCTCCAGGGAGTGATCATCAAGATACCTGTAACACTTTGGGATGCGAAATGTATTCTCCGCTTTTCCAGATCCCTCCATCGGAGAATCGGAGTTGAAAACATTATGTGTAGTTTTAGAATATGGTTTATCCTGAAATTTTTGTGGAGTATTTTCCGAATGATAAGAATATCTGTGTGTTCTGAGACTTCCAGAGTTCTTGTAGCGTTTATCACAAAAATTACATTGATATAATTTCCCCATTTTTGTTTGTAGCACTATAGAATTATATTAGTGAATACAATTCTGGAAATGATTAAATTTTTGACGGATCTCCTCCTTATATAGCCGAAAAACTAGGCATGCTATTTGTCTTTAATTTTGTGCATTGAAAATTAGAAATCAATCATTCGTGTTTTTAATCTATAAATTCGAAAGGAATAAGTAGCTTGACTTACTTCCTATTATAACATAATTTATCAGTTTCTACAGGTTTCTGATTTACTTCTATTTATTAATAATAGACATTTTAAGTCAAACTCGATACCAGGAACGCCACTATAATTATTGACAAAAAAAAAATATGTGTATCATTTTCAGGCTATAAAAGGACCTGAACTTGTGGCCGTTGAATCATTAATTTCCATTAAACTCGTTATGGATGCAGTAATTCTACAAAACTTGCCAGAGTTGTACCGCCCAGTTTATCAACAAAACTGGAGAACAATTAGAGAAAGTCTCAAACATGGTCGGATACGTGATACGTTTCATTTCCCTCTTTTTGAAAACGAAGATAGCGAAATTAAATCTAAAGCAGAACGGGTAATTTCAAACTACAATCGTAAAATCAAAATAAATGTCGCTTTTGGTTTCATTCTGAAAAATCGGTCCACTGATGAACTCAAGTTTTTCCACCCATCGAACAATACGATGTTATTTCTGACACCAAAGCTGTTGGAAAATGCTTCAGATTATGAGCAATTTAGAACTGATATCGAAAAAGAAGACGCCTTTCAGTATGCAAGAACAAACAGGCCATCAACAAACTGGAAAGTAGCAAGAATAATTTGTGTTCGATTTGATGTTTACAAGATGTAAGGAGCTTTTGATTCCATACGGATTTATATTTGTAATTTAAAAGAATTTCTCGTAATATGTTTTACATATAAATAATCATGTATTTGAATTTCTTAAATATCACATTTTAACAATTAACCTGTAGTTTTATTTGGTTCGTTAAGTCAGTAACTGTTAAGCACTAACAGTAACACAGCTGTTATCGTAACTTATGTACTGGGACTATATATTGTTAATACAATCTTGATATTATTGAGTAACCATGTCATGAAAGTGCTCTCTAATTACGTTACCACATCAACAATATCTTTGTTACGTGAACGTGTACACTATAATACATTGAACAACTTCTGCTGTGTGATGAAAGTGATTAGTTGATACCTCAGTATCACATAACGTAGGGTTAGATAACATTTATTGCTGGGATAAACTAGGTTAAAATGTATACCATAATAACATAGCCACATTTTAGAACGACTCTGACTGGGATTTGAACTTGTAACCCCCGTCTTAAAAGCCGGCAGATTAACCAACTGCGCCACCCGGGTGATTGCATAATTACACGCGTTTTAAAAAAAATGTGTCTCAATTTTTGCTTAAATACAGCTCCAAAAATCCCTCATACACTACTGCCGCCAACCTTAAATATTAATATTCGTCGGGAAAACTTCGGTCAAATTCTTCAGCTGATATGACCCGAATTTCTCAATGACTGTAATATTCTTTTCCGCACAACTTCTGTTATTATATTACATTATTTACATTTTGGAACTGGGTGTGTATGTATGCGGTGCCAATGTACAGCTTGTAAAAGTATACCATATTTTTTATAGAATGATAAAGATAACAACTTTTAGCTCAGTTTGTACGCAGTTTGGCACAAGCTTTAATGTTGCGACAATTATCTGAATAAGAACTAGTTACGCCAGAATAGGACAAGGAATGTTGACTAAGGATTGAGTAATTCATATTTTCCTCTTTAAAATAATTTTAGAATTGCAATTCCAAAAAAAATCGGAATCAAAAATGCACATCGCATTGGTCAATAATTAATTTTTTGAGAACATCTTCGTACACGAATGCGTCACTCAATTATTTCGTGCGTCACTCGATGAATTCATGCGTCACAAAGTTGGTGGTTTGATGTGTAACCATGTGTAATAGTTGTAAAGTTGTAAACCACTCCGTAAATCACCTCATTTTAGTCGGTTGTAATTTCTTTGGTTGAGTCCCAAAATTTCAGTTTTCACACAATTTTATGTTTCAGTTTACCTTTCTCAAGGCATGTTTCAGTTTGTACAAATTTGGTGATTTGGTAGAGGTTAAGGTTAAGGGACGTTTTGGTCGAGGTGTTGCCCGTTTTGTCGCCACGTGTAACTACCTCTTTATCACGTTAGTGATACCTTAATAAGCTCACTTTTAGTGATAATTAAACTCAAAAGTTACGAGTGAAGGAAAATGATTCTAATAGAGGAAGTGGGGACATCATCAGTAACAGTCGGCTTCACAACAAGGATAGCGGCCTAGTATTGTCTCTACAAAGCGATCAGTATTTACTTGAGGTTGGTGGCGGGAAACACTTAACAGTACACACAGTACGTACTAACAGTACACACTACAGTACACACAGTACGTACTAACAGTCCACATTACAGTACACACAGTACGTACTAACAGTCCACAGTACAGTACACACAGTACGTACTAACAGTACACAGTACAGTACACACAGTACGTACTAACAGTACACACTACAGTACACACAGTACGTACTAACAGTACACACTACAGTACACACAGTACGTACTAACAGTCCACAGTACAGTACACACAGTACGTACTAACAGTACACACTACAGTACACACAGTACGTACTAACAGTCCACATTACAGTACACACAGTACGTACTAACAGTCCACAGTACAGTACACACAGTACGTACTAACAGTCCACAGTACAGTACACACAGTACGTACTAACAGTCCACAGTACAGTACACACAGTGCGTACTAACAGTCCACATTACAGTACACACTACAGTACACACAGTGCGTACTAACAGTCCACACTACAGCACACACTAACAAAGTACATACTAGCAGTACACTGTGTACAGTGTGCCTAGTGACGCGGGATTTGTACATCTATCCGTGCGGTAGTCAGCATTGAAAACGTTACTCTCACTTGTCAGCAGAGAGTTCAGAGTACAGCTAGGGTGGTTAACATTGTGAAAACAAGATGGATTCACTTGTACGTATTGTACGCATTGTGTACGTTATTGTACGTATTGTGTACGTTATCGCACGTACAGAAGCGAAAGTAAATACATACTGCATATTCCACTGTTCTGCGATGATGCTTTCAGCAGCAGATCTCTCGTTCAATCCAGAGTTAAAACACTGAGAATTACACTGAACTAACATCATCTAAATGATCCCAAAACGCTCTATTGTGTACTATTTGGTCTACTCCAACGCTCCAATCTTTGTTTGAGCACTTGAGGTGAACAGTAGTCACGTGGTTGTTATCAAATATCAGGCTAGCTCTGAAATGTTTTATACTCCCTGCTCTCCAAAATGGGTGGTTCCCTGCACATACAGATTTCAAGCTTTCCTCTGATTGACTGTTTGTCTAGAATATGGAGTAATCTTGTGAGCACTCTCTGGGCAATCAAATCAACTCAAAGTCACTTTCATCAAATTTAACCCATATTCATCTGGGCAGTCATTTTTGTTGAAATTGCCTTCTCTTGGACCCTGGTGCTTGCACTCCTCGCGTCGTGTTCCGATTATTATGATATGGGGGACCGGGGACTGGTGTCCATTAATTTAGCAGCCAGTGTCCTCGTGATCTTCATTCTAAGTGTGTATCTCTCAAACAGCTTTTAAATCTTATCTTTAAGTAAGGTGATCATATCAGTGTTGTTTTGGAAATAATATCAGATTAAAGAAACAGCCCCATTTAAATCAGTTTCCACAGAACGTAGCCACAGTGTTGATATGAATGTTGTAAGACTAAGCGTATCTTTAACCGCATGTATCGTAATCATAAAATGTCCCTATAGTTAGGATAAATTTAATGTATCACACACATAATGACATTAAGTTTTACATGTACATACGTTTGATGTCTGGCACCAATACGTGTTAAATACGTGTTATGTTAATAGTGTAGACTCAGTGTTACCAGGTGGAGCCCATTTTATGTCATGTTATAAATATTACCATGGTAACACTTATCATGTTATAAATGTTACCATGGTAACACGTGTCATGTTATAAATGTTACCATGGTAACACTTGTCATGTTATATAACTGTTACCATGGTAACACGTGTCATGTTATAACTGTTACCATGGTAACACATAACGATGTGACGTGTATTCCATGGCACGTCGATGTAATGCCTTGCCGTTTTTATTATTAATTTATGTTTTATTAGAAATTTTTGGTAAATGCAAACCATGAATCATTTTAGTGGTTTTAAGTTTCAGGATCGAGCTTCTTCAAAATTTAGGCTGTCCTTCATTGTTTTAATAACTGAAATAGTAAAACTTAGATTATCATAGGAATATTTCTCGACGATTGCTCGATAAATTCGTTATCCGCTCTGCACTGACAACAATGGCGGATTCAACTGAAGTACTGAATAACGTAAAAGACTACTATGGTAAAGTCCTGCAATCAACCGCGGATCTGAAGACCCAAGCCTGCGTCACCCCTGGCAAAGCACTGAACAAGCAAGTTAAGAGCGCCATGTCGGAGGTTCACGAGGAAGTTACAGCACGATACTACGGCTGCGGACTGATCATACCGCCGGGAGTGCAGGGAGCGCGCGTATTGGACCTGGGGTCGGGGAGCGGGAGGGACTGTTACGCGCTGAGTAGGCTGGTCGGGAAGAGTGGGGAGGTGGTGGGTGTGGACATGACATCTGAACAGATAGATGTTGCTAACCAGTACATCCAATACCACACTGACAAATTCGGGTATGATAAACCCAATGTTAGCTTTGTCCAGGGCTACATTGAGAAGCTAGTGGAGGCGGGACTGCAGCCAAATTGTTTTGATATCATAGTTTCCAACTGTGTGGTTAACTTGTCTCCTGATAAGAAAGCTGTGTTATCTGAAGGGTTTAAAGTTTTAAAACCTGGGGGTGAACTCTACTTCTCCGACGTGTACTCTGACACTGAGTTATCTGATGAGATAAGAAAAGATAACGTGCTGTGGGGTGAGTGTATTTCTGGTGCACTTCACTGGAAGACCTTGCATTCCTTAGCTAAAGAAGTAGGTTTCACTAAACCCCACCTAGTTTCCTGCTCTCCCATCGATATAGACAGAGAAGATTTCAACAAGGTTCTAGGAGGAGCCAAGTTCTGCAGCGCCACGTACCGTCTCTTCAAACTACCAGAAAACCACCAGAAGTACAGTGGAGGTCAGGTGATCTACAACGGGGAGATTCCAGGTCACGAGGACACATTCCAGCTGGACCATAAAACTGAGCTGCCAGCTGGGGACCCTGTATGTTTATCAGCAGAGCTGGTCACGGTTCTGAGGAATTCCAGACTTGCGGAGGAGTTTGAGTTTGATCCGACGGCTCAGGAGGTGTGTTGTTTGAAGGTGGCTGAGGGTGAGGACCCGTTTAGTGTTATTCAGGATAAGGAACAGAGAGGAGAGAAAATAGAGAGTGCTTGTTGTGGTCCTTCGAACAAATCTGGGTGCTGTTAATGGGTAAATGAGAGTTAATTAATTGGTTTACCAGCCTGGATGCTGTGTATACTTTATAGGTTATATTTTGAAAGGGATATATTTATTTATATTTTATATGTACATAAAGGTTGGGTTTTTTTTGTTATTTGCCGAATCGTTTAGGGTATTTATAGATGGCCCTGGACTAATGCTATAGTCTGTTAGTTTTACAATCTGCAGTTTGCACGAAGGTGTTATGTCTTTGATATATTTTGAGTTGTTGTTGAGTGTAATTAAGCATGTAGATCTTTCTTTTAAAAGTTTTTTAAAAACTCTTTTATAACACCCCATTCATGATGTTTTATTAGTGTACACCTATATATAATCCTCTCCTATCTTAAGTGATCTCCTGCGTGCTGGCTCACAGACCTACATTTATCTTACTTGGAATATATAAAAGTTTTATGCTACATATTTATGATTTCTCTCGTATAATATCTAATGTATTTTGCTCTGTATGCATATTTATAAAACATTTAACATACAAGAGAAAGTCAGGATGCATGAATTATTTCGCGGATTGCTCACTACCATACTTGCATAGTAACTCAGTAAGGCTTCTTTAGTGTTTGTGTGTTTGCATCGCGTGATTTGAAACATGTTTGATTTATTGTTATTGTAGCATGATATTTAATTACTGTCGTATATATTGTGTCGTATATATCGTATCCTGTATATAGAATTGTATACGTAACGTATCAAAATAGACAAACAGTGTATTGTATTCCTTGTAACTTGTATAATTCGTACTGCTACGAATGTATCCGTCTCAAGTTTTCTGCTTGGTTACTTTTCTATTTTGCGACGTCCGTGTAGTTGTGGGAATTGTATATTTTCTATTGCATCATTCTGGAATATTCCACCGCATGGAGGGAAATAGTTTTTGTCAAATCAGAGTATATTTTTGCATACTTTGCCAATTCATTTTAACATTTGCTTACTGGTAAGACTCGTTGATTCTTGCGAATGCCGTGCCGTATAATCTCAACAACAACCTTTTTAAATTTATAATCATCACACTTCTTTGATTTCTTAATTTTTACTCGCGATTCCGCAAATTTTATCACGAATTACTCTTGCGTGAAGCTTTACTTTCTTCTCCGACAAGTTTTAACAAAACCTACATTAGTAACGCTACTGTACGTGGCGTAACTCAGATGAACAACAATTTAATGTTTTAATCTGATAAATATATTATATATATTATAACCGTGATAAAATGTGATAATATAACACACTATACCCACCGATAACAGACCTATAACAACCCTGCTGTATAGTGTTGTAACCTTTCCTGAAACCTGATCCAGTCCTAAGCTCTTATTACATTACTCTACCATCACTACTACTGATTTGTGCTATTGTATGCGACCGTTTACCTCACATAAGTAGTACGTGGTCGTGGTGTCGCATTATGCGGTTATTTTGTGAATGTATATTATGCGGTTATTTGGCTAATGTATATTATACGGTTATTTTTCGCATGTACATTGTTTGTGCGGTTATTTGTCGCATGTACATTGTTTTTGCGGTTATTTGTCGCATGTACATTGTTTTTGCGGTTATTTGTCGTATGTACATTGTTTGTGCGGTTATTTGTCGTATGTACATTGTTTTTGCGGTTATTTGTCGCAAGTACATACATTGTTTGTGCGGTTATTTGTCGTATGGCTATATTTGTGTAGTGGGCATGTGCACATTTTGTTCGCATCTTTTATTCCTGTCTATGATAAATGCTCTTATACTTTTGCTTTCACCGCTACATTAAAAAAACACGTTTGAATTTAAAAACATATATTCCGTGTAGGTAACATCTAAACATACTAAAGACCTCTGCACCGCATTTCCACTCAATCAGCAACTAATGACATCATAGCTAATGCCCTTATCCACACACTGCAGTATTATAGCAGCTCGAGCAGTGACGTATGTTTTGTTGTGGATCCCACGTGCGGCAACTTTACGTTATGCTTGATTTGTCTTGCTAAAACTGCACTCCGTTCAAGCGCGAATTGTTTTTAACAGTCTACCCTCCATTACAACTGTGCTGCATGTCTTTAAACACACACGTGTGTCTTGTAATGGAAGTTCTAACCAAGTTCCAAGTTCTAACCAAGTTCCAAGTTCTAACCAATGCAATAATTAATAATGTAATTAATTAATTAATGTAATTATCCCAGTTAACAGTACATGGCACAGGGATGTGATGGGTGCATTTTTAGATAAGCCTATAACAGACAAGACCAGTGGTCAGGGGTCGGGTAATGGTCTCAGATATGGACACAGTTCCATGCAGGGTTGGAGAATGACGATGGAAGATGCCCACACCACAGTCCCTAACGTGCCCGGACTTGATTCCTCTTCCTTTTTCGGTGTCTACGACGGACATTGTGGGCATACCATCGCCAAGTACTCCTCCGAGAACCTGTTGAACGAATTTTTAAAACACTCCGACCTTGCAGAGGTTGTTAACTCAGATAACAATGACAAAGTAGACCCTGCTGTATTATCAAAAGTTATGGAGGAGGGGTTTGTCATATTGGACGATTATATGAGAACTATTCCACCGTGGAAAAACGGCGAAGATCAAAGCGGGACGACGGCGGTTTGTGCGTTTATTACCAAAACTGACATTATCTGTGCAAACTGTGGTGATTCCCGGGCCATATTCAGTCGTTCAGGTGATCTTAAATTAGTTACCAGGGATCACAAGCCGTACAACGACGACGAGCGTCGCAGGATTGAAAAGGCGGGAGGTTCAGTGATGATGCAACGAGTAAATGGTTCTCTGGCAGTCTCTCGTGCTCTCGGAGATTACGAGTATAAATCAACCCAAAACATGCCCTCAATAGAGCAACAAGTGTCCCCGCAACCCGAGATTTTTAATTGCGAAAGGGACTATGATAATGACGAGTTTCTAGTCATAGCTTGTGATGGTATTTGGGATGTCATGTCTAATCAGCAAGTTCTTGAGTTTGTTCATAAAGAGTTGACGATAAGGGAAGATCGAGGTCAAATTTGCGATAATCTTATTGAAGAGTGCTTCCAACGGGTAAGTCTTTAATTTAATTAGTTTAATGAGTCTATAGTTCATTAATTTCAGCCATAAGATTGTATCCTTCGTAATATGAGTTCACCCGCGCTCTCATTTGAAAAGTGGCTTAATTTAAAAGTTCGCCTGTTGCTGCCTGCTTGAAGTATGGATTTCATCATGAAATGGATCAAAATGTATCGGGTCAAATACCGATCTTAGTTGTATGGTTGCCTTTAATCTTGTAGATTGCCCTCACCTGAGGCGTATACGAAGATATAAATTTCGGTGAATGTTACGGAAAGTATCTACAAGTACTAGCAGAATCGTACTTTGACCTGTTGAAAAGCACAAAAATTAAACATTCCATTTCGCGCGCGCGCTAAATCAATAAATTTTACCGTTTCGACGTACGAAACCATGGTTCGCTGGGAACTTTTTCCGTCATTACTTGGCATTTCGCCAACAAGCAACAACTGTACCACGCCCAATTTAATGGAAGCCTGACCAAAATTACCTAGCTGGACTAAAGCCATATTCCCGATTAAATATTGACATTATGTATGTTAAGAGATGAATATTCGTATGCTTGTCCTTTGGCGGTTTCCTGTCTTAAATTTATCCCGGAAAGGTATGCTTCGGTTATTAAAGACATTCCTTACGAAATTCCAGCTCGATGCACATCGCATGACATAACGAAAATATATTTCCACATCCCTCGATACCGAATGAAAATTACTAAAACGAGAGTTGTCTTTCCAAAAGTGTAAATAACCGGATTCTTTAGTGAGCGAATTATGAGAGCCGGAAGTCATGTCCCGTTAGATCACCTAATCTTACGACATTTTTTTCTTTAACCATTCCATCTTTTCAGGGAAGTCGAGATAACATGAGCGTAGTGTTGGTAACTTTCCCCGCGGCTCCCACAGTCAACGAAGAGGCAGTTCTCAAAGATCAGGAGGTAGGCAATTTGTGACCAGATTCGACCACTGAAGCATGCTTAACTTCATCCACTCAATTTTTGGTTAACCTGCTGCCGCCCGTAGATTCTTATAATTGTTTTCACTATGTTGTACCGCATACCTGATTGGTGAAATCGCACACAATGTTGCAAGTGTGACTATGATAACTAGGCCGTGCATGATTACTGAGCACTTTAATTGTGGCCTGGGCTAATGACTCTCCGATAATGATGTAATGGAGATATGGTAAGTGATGATTTATTAATTTATGCAGAAACAAGGAATGATTCGATATATTTGACCTGTCCGGTTGTTTATGATAGATACACTGCACGTTGAATTTGCACGTAAATGAACGTCAAAAGGGTTCAGTAAAGTTTAACTACTTGTAATTTGTCGTTGGATTGAATTTAAAGAGAATATAGAACCTAGAAAATATGTTCCAATATTGATACTATTTTCTTTGCTAACCCTAAGAATGTTTTAATTATCTTAAAGATTTGATCACCTTGTCAATTCTGTCACACACAGGGCTCGACGTTGTTAGGATGTAAATATAGACGTAAGAGTAAGGTAGGCCACCAAAACTCGCTGTTATAATTCGCAACCAATCGATAGCCGTCATCCGTCGGTAATTGCCATTTGGCGATGATAACCATCGCCACTTGTCAATAATCGCTAATTGTCGATGTAATCCGAGCTTTGTTGATTTCGGTGTAATATCCACTGTTATTCACTAATTCGCATGATTACACGATCATAAGTCCTGCTGATGCCATGTCATGTTTCAAATTCTCATTGAAGGGGTTACTAAGTAACTAATGCTTTGAAATCATTTAAAAAGCTAAAATGCGTTTTTCGAGGTCCGCAAAAATTTATAATTTATATGGGATTTTAATAACGGAGTCCATATTTGACTTTTTTCAAATTCGCTACTATTTGCTGAGCTCAACACTAACCATGACAATGTGCAGTGATTAAAGTTCGGGTCTCCAGATTTTCAAACTCTTTACAATTATTCGACTATCAATTCAATGAAACAACTGTCAAATAAATGGATTATTGTGGCGTTTTCAGTTTCACCTGCAAATGAACCTGTTAATCGTGAACATCGGTTTTACTGTACTCTCCCAGAATAACTTTATTCCTGTAAAACCCTAATTCCCTTACGGCTTTACATTTTGTCATTTCTTGGAATCAGTTTATTGTAGTGGTATCAAACCGGTGTCTAATTTTTGTTAGATTTTCTTATCCAACATATTGTGTAGGAAGCGTTTTCTTGTGTTTCAAATTTGATGGTGGGGTCAGACTCGGTGTGTTACTGTAAAACTCTCGACCAATAAATTTATGGCATTACCATACCCTAGCCTATTTTTAGCATTACTAAACTTCTCCCTTGAAATACTGGGAATAGTTCCCCAATTTGTAGCATCAATTCAAATTCCGGTGGTAAAATGTTCCGCAAATTCGATGTTTTACAGTAGCAACCTGCAGATTTGAAAACAATTGTGGATGTTTGATGATCTAAGCATTGTGAATCCTGCAGGAGAAGAAGCGTATAGCTGTTCTTACGGAACGCATACAAGAAAAAGTTGGCTCCATGTATACTGAGAGCAGCATGGTGACTGTGGCACAAGCACTGGCCTCAGTTGAAAGTATGTTGGAGGTCGAAGAAGATTCCAGTTATCTTAGGTTGCCAAAGTAAGTCATAGCAATCATGATATGTACTTGATAAACTGTAAAACATACACTGTAAAACATCAAATTCCGAGACAATTTAGTACCATACATTATTAATTTTCCGAATTTATAGTGATCCATGTCAAGTGGTCTATGTTTATTTGACGGCGGATTTCAAATTCGACGCTTTTTATTAGAAAACTCGAAATTTAAGTGAGCCCTAAAAATGTAGGGTAAAACCTAAAATCTTTAACATGTTTAATATTTTCCTGCTCGTGCATTATTCCAGGAGACGCTCAATAGGGTAAAATTTGGTTAATTTTAGAGGCAATTTTTGGGAGTTAGGTTAGCAACTCAAAGGGTTATTAGGGCTGTAGTTAGTTAGATTTGATAAAACTTATCTGACTGCTAACAATCAGACTGCTCAGCATGTTTTACAGTGCATTTACAGTAATCTCATAAAATCACCTGTCAGACGCTTTTGTGTGCTTTAAATGCCCTTTTTACGTAGAATAATCAGATAGTGCATATGTTATGCGAAATAAAATCAAAATATGTTATACTCAAATTAAACAAAAGTTTAATCACCAAATATTCGCATGTATTTAAGCCAATAGAGGCTGATGCGTTTGAAGGGAAAGCACAGTTTTAATTCCTGTAGCACCCCTGTACTACAGGGACCCTGTAGCTATTTTATATTTCAGGCCCTTTAAGAGCCACAAGATTTTGTGTGTGTAAGTTTATTGATTGTGGGACACGCCCGATTTACTGCATTTAAGTCCAATATTATTACCTCGCTGAGAGTATTCCCACGTGTTTGCTAGATTACTGTTGTCAGCAGTTTAAGAGTTTAAGGACATGCCATTTTACGAGTGAGCATTTTGATAGTGATATTGCTGTTGGAAGATGATCCCACGAATGATTGGAGATGATTTGAAGCATCCACATTCCACCTTTATTTGTTGTACTAGTACTGCATAATGTGGTTAAGTGTTTGTTTGCCAAGTGGTTGTCTTTTTAATTCATTTTCTCGTTTATGCACCTCAACTGAGCCCCGGTTTTAGAATCTAATGCGTTAATCATGATTTTTTTGCTGACTGATTTGGGCGCTTAGGTTAAAGTGTGGCAAATTGCCGAGCTGATAAGATCACTTTTATCTCAGGAGGCGAATAGTCGAGACGAAACTGACGGAGCTCCGAGAAAAAGATAATAACGGCCCCGGATCGGTGAGTAACGCTGTTATTGGTTGTCAAGGCAACGAGAGCTGTGACGCTATCTTTAACGTTTCTTTATTCTCTTTAATGTCTACACTTTTTTAAAGGGGAAAGCTTAGATTAGACTCGATTCTGCAGATTGAAATATCCTTCTTGATAGCTTTACTTTTCGTGATTAAAAGCTGGTTTATCTTCTCATGCATGAGCACGTGGCTGGGGCCAACAGAGAGAGAGAGAGATCACACGTTATCATCGTAAAGTCACGTGATCTAAACACATGGTATAGTGGGCCCAACTCCCAACACTCCCTGACAAACTATCTTCCAGCTCCTCCAAAACGAGACTGATTTAAGAAACTGGTCATTTGTAAGAGACCCGGGCCCGGTTCCTCCTGTCCCCGTAACATCTCCACCACCTAAACCGTCCTCTGCGGTACCACCGTCAGCCGCACCGGCTCAGGACGAGGTTGTGCCGCTAGTGGCCCGGCACGTGGGCTTCAGAGCACTAGTAGCTGCTGTTAGGTACAATACTGCTGCCGCCCCCTATACGTGTTCAATATATTCGGCATTCGTTCTTGTTCAGACTGATTATATCTCAGTATAATCGTTACTGCCAAACTCGCTGACTAACTGACAGAACACTGTGGAGTTGGTGCCCACTTTGTTGCCACTTCCTGGTACCACACACTTTGTTGCCACTTCCTGGTACCACACACTTGATCTTTACCATTTACGGTACCAACTTGTGCCAACGACCTTTTTTTCCTCCGCCTCCCGAAATCATGCTTGCCATTATTTATACGATAACCATTCCTTAATCATAATTGCCGCGAAATTGCCATGGCTACCGTACCGTTACCATGGTAACTGTGCTGTTTCTGTGGCTACTACTAACAACGTCCACCGATTCCACGTGTCCTTGTTAGAAGTCCTACCTTTCTGAGTGTTAGCACATTTACTTGGTGTATGCATGTTTTATTAGTGGGACTTCATTTATTAGTGTCTGATTGTTGCAGCCCTAATTGGTATTTAATTGGTTTTTAATTGATTTTAGAGATCAAGCTCATTTAACTCATCTGATTAATTGTGTCTCTTGGAAGCTGTAAATCATTTGTAGAATTTATGCTTAATTGCTTGTTTTTTTAGTTGCTTCCAAATACTCCATATAGTAAAGTTAATCTTATTGTTCAGTAGCTGCCTTTCACTGAAATAGATATTCCTGAATTTTTGTAACCATGGTAACGTCATGTTTGTTCAAGGAAGGTGATACGTAGACGGAACAATAACGAAGATCCGGCCACGTGACCAAAGTGGTATGTTAGTTATTTCCATGGCAACCTTCAGCTGATCATCCTTTTAAAGCTATGCTGATTTAATTTTATTCAAGTCCAAATAGTTGGCCTAGGCTGGTTTTGCTAACCATACCTCTTCTTTCTATTGTAATCTCCTTTCGTTTCTCTTAGATTGTCTTTCATGTTTTACATTTGAGATAATGAAGAAGTTAGGACTGTGCTTTGCTGGATTTTGTTGGTCTAGGCTTATAATTCAGCTGATAAGGACATATTTGTTCATCATTCTTTTGTAAAAATGTATCCGATAATAATCAATTTAAACATATCTTTTGAACGCCAAGATCTCCTGGCCTTATGAGTTCATTAACTTTTTTTCAGCATGGTCATTAAAATCATGTATAAGAAAAATATCCTAACTATGTATTTATTTTCAGCAATTATACTATGGAGAGGAAGCACCGGAGGAACCCAGTGAGGAACCCTCTGACACGTGAATCTTGAAGTGACGTCGTTCTCCCACGCGTGACGTCATTCTCCCTCACGTGACGTCATTATCCCCATACGACACCATATTCCCTCATGTGACGTCACAGTCACCCCCTGACCCCCTGAACTCACAATGTGAATTTCTCAACCTCCCTTTGTGACGTCATACTTCCTCACATGACGTCATTGTACTCACGTGCGAAACATTGGCCTGGTTTAATCCGGGTACATGGACGCTGGACTCGAACAATCAAGAACTATTGATGGCAGTTTGGAATCAAGTGTTTTTTATATTACAATATTTTTAATTTTCGGCTGTTACATTTGGAGATATAGTACTAATACTTTGCGTTATACGGTTCAATACCGATAGCCCGGGTTCTTTGTAGCTTTTAGTTCTTATATGTCCAAAACTTCTTCAAATCATTTCCAAGAACAAACTACAGAAAGGAGGGTTGTTATTCACACCCCTATTATTGGGCTACAGGTCCCCATGGTCAACTAATAGTTAGTTACTTTCAGTTTTTGTTAAATCTGAACATTGAAATCTCAATTGAATTTGTTTATCACACATGAAAAATTTTGAATAGTTACGCCAACTTTTGATCCAACATTTCTTGTTGACATATAGTTTCATGATAACAGTCCTCGTTGAAGTAAGTCACTATTTTGCTAGTCAGTTGAACTTGGAAGCGGATGTTGGAAGCTGCGTAACGATTGATTGATGACTGTTTTTAGTTTTAAATCACGCGTAAATGATTTTTGATTAAGTATGTCGTATGTTGATCTGAAATTTAGGCTAAATAGAAAAACAGTGGTCACTGGGTTTTTCCTTATATTGGAGTTAGTACTTACTTGAAGATTAATATCTTGGACCCATATTTTAAAATTGATTTTTGAGTACTGAAATATACTTAAATGTTTGGTAACAGGAATTGGTATTATATGGAAGCGTTTGTTTTAATTTTCTGATAATCAAAGTGAATCTTCTCGTTTGATTGACACGTGCGAAATAGTTAAGAAATGGAACATTCAGCCAAGGTTTTAGCTACTTGTCTAGTTAACTCGAGACAGTTTCACATTACACGGGAGCGAGTTGTATCAAGATAGGTATTTCCCGCAATCAAACAACTTGATCCACGATGTCAATCCTTTGCAGCTCGGCGAGGCCCAGTGGGGCATCTCGCCGATCTACCGAAGCATTATATTATTGGATGCGCGGCCTAGTAGAATGAGTTTCAAAAATTCCAACAAGATCTTTATAACATCGGTAGAATATTTTCGTTCATCATCTGCATCAATACCATCCACCAATACCTATAAATTAAGATAAGATAAGGTTAGTACTCCAATATGCAATAAAATTAAATAAAAATAGGAGCAAATATAATTCACAATCGAATGGAATGGATGGAGTGAGTTGTATTTATAGATAAGCATTACCTGAGGACCCCAGGCTATTATGTTCATTAACAAAAGATTTGGCGGAATGACAGGCTGAGCGCGGCCCAGTAAAGATAAGCAATAAGAGTATCGCCCGTTATTACCCTGAACTGACCGTTTAGATTTTTCTATAAAATGGTTTAGGCAAGGCCATTTCGTTCCGCTGTACATTAGAAAGGGCAGTCTGTAAATTTGACTAAACCGGTTTCCGAACCGTCACCTTGACACTTGAGTTGGAAATTACAAAATGCGCAGGCCATATATCCCCACCGAAATGCGAAAGCACACTGCACACACCCCAAATTGCGCGCATTGAGTAACTTCATTGAATCGAGATTTGATTCACGATGTCAATCCTTCGCATTTCGCCGATCTGCATTTGTGGTTGCGTATGGAAGCGCATGTGTGTCAAAAAAAATAATGATACACATGCGCTTCCTAGGTAGCGTATGTGTGTCAAAAATTTTTTTGATACACATGCGCTACCAGGTTTATCATGTATATCATTAGGTGGCCCATGTGTGTCATTTTTGTAAAATTGCTGTAAAATCTCTATTTAATTTTCTAATCGCTATCTTTCACAGGAGCACTATAGTGCAACGAAACTGCTGCTCACTCACTGTTGCTCACTGCTGCTCACTGCTGCTCACTGCTGCTCATGCTCACTGCTGCTAACTAACTACTGCTCACTGCTGCTCACTGGTACTAATTGCTGCTAACTGCTGCGCGAACCCATATCAGCAGTGAGCAGCAGTTAGCAGCAGTGAGCAGCAGTTTACCTGGGGACCCCAGGCTATTATGTTCATAAACATAATAAATATTTTGATATAAAAGATTCTGCGGAATGACAGGCTGAGCGCCGCCCAGTAAGCAGCAGTTATTTAACGGGTGATACTCGTAAAATATCTGTTCCATATATTGGAACAGTCCAACTCGGCGCGCGTCCTGGTAGGTTGTAAACCTACAAAGCAGTTAGGCAGCAGTTTCTTTGCACTTTAGTCCTCCTGTGCTTTATCTATCTATATATGTATTTCATTCTTATCTCTATTTTATCTTTCAATTCCTGTCCGCTCGCCTCCCGTGGATACAAGTTGTATCACGTAGTGACCCACACTGTCGCTTCACTATAGTATCGTCTTCGACCATACAGGCGGGTCATACAACATATGACAAGATACAAGGATACAAAGAAAACGAGCGCGCCTGTACACAGCAGAGGCGCAAAAGCACATGGTTAGGTGAAAGCGCGCGCTCCTACTAAATCGCTCGATCAATTTTTAAGAAAATTCTTGTGAAAAGGCCCTTTAAGCATGAAAGTAATCTAGATCAGTGTATTTTGGACGCTGATTCCGAATCACCCCCCATGACTTAGGGTTAAGATGCTTCCCTGGATAGTTATGGGCAAAAAACCGTTTTGGTCACGTGACAGGCTAGTAAAACGTGAATTCGGTTATTTAGGGCTCGGGTTAGGGTTGTGGTTATGATTATGGATATCTTCGAGGTTATGGTTAGGGTTAGGGTTGGGACGATTAGGGTTTATGTAAAACCGTTTTGTACGGCTGCAAAACCATGAAAACCAAAGTCACGTGAAATTTTTGGGCGAGCGATTTAGTAAAAGCCGAAAGCGCGTGTTGCTGTAGAGGCTAGGATACAAGGATACAAGGATACAAAAGTGATAATTACTTTATTGATTACACAATAGTTGTAATTCTGAAATAATTTAAGTTACACAATTCTAATTATTTACAAGTGTGTAGGGATAATTTAGAAATGTTATATAATGCTAGTTTTAGAAAAATAGATAAATCGAGTTTGTATGGTTCAATTTTATTTTAAGGTTTGATTGATTGAAATAAATTTTCGTGCACATACAGAATGAATGGTTAATAATTTAATATATATGTAGACCAAGGTCTGTGCACGGGATGCTTCCTGGAAGAATCCAGTTCTTTTAGCGGGGCACCCTACCTAAAGCCAAATTGAGATATAATAATCATATTCCTAGAGAAATAATCAGAAATCGAATACCAATCAAATAATATGATATATAGGAGTAGTAACCATATTTACTATGCAAAATGCCCCAACCACATAGTGTAAATTTATATAGAATTCAAATTCCATATCATCATTAAACCTCAATACTCAATATAATAGCCCAAGCAAAATTAAATAACTTCTTATATACCTTACTGTCATACTACAAATTAATTAAACATTTGAAATCTGTTAACCAGAGAATAAATTTCTAAACCTAATGCAAGTGAAATAATTTAGATGTAATAATGAATGCCTAATGTGAGTATCATCTGTCAATGTCCTTGTAAAAAAGTCTGTAAAAGAGATATGAGTAACTAATATAGAAGAAAAAACAGGAAGTTGTCGTCTGTTGAAAAATAAATAAAATATCTAGAATATAAATTAGAATATAAAATAACATTCAGTCAATGTGTCGTCAATAAACTGTACAATTATCAAATGTTAAAACTGGGTGATACAGTCACCAAAAATAAATACTAAGTATAATAAGTAAATAAATTAAATGTGGTCTATAAAACTACCACTAGGTATAATAGGTCAATAAATTAAAAGTGGTTTATAAAACTACCACTGTGCGAACCCTTTCTCCAGTTAAAACATGTCAGTCATGTGCAAAATCAATCAAAATGGTAAGGTGGTAAAAAAGGGAAAATCCTTTCGATACATCAATTATATATGCCTCAGATTTAAAAGAATTAGAAGATACTTAGTTATCGTCCTATAGCATTATGCACTTGCCAGTATTTGAGTGGAAATCGGGGCTCTTATAATAGGCTGTATATTGTTCGTTCACAGAGAGAATTGAATGGATTGCTCTTGCTGTGGCAGTGAGTGTGGTAGGATCTAGAGTTTTGTTGGAGAGCAAACCGACTAGGTCAGTAATGTTTTGGGGATGGAAATTGAATTTTTCCCTAACTGAGGAGTAGAGCAAACAGTCAATCAATACGTGACTTTCGTCCTCAATAGGCTTGAGCCCTTTGCTGAAAAAGCAGTAGGTGCACCAACGTTCTTCTCTTGGTACAAGGGGGGTTTCGTATCTGCCCCTTTCGATGTAGAGGTTGTGGCAGCTGATACGAAACCTTGTCAGACTTTTTCGAACATCAGGTATTTTGATAATTCGTAGATATGCCTCTGGTTCGAAATCATGTTTAATTCTAGTTTTGGCGAGGAGGCATTGGCAGCTTTCCAGGTATTTACGAATTCTTCCCTCATGTTATGACTGATTTGGGTGGAGAGCTTAGATTTTGAGGAAGATGAGGGGGTGAAATTGTATTTGGTGAGAAGCTTTGAGATGTTGGTATACCAAGGAAGTCCCAACATGATTTGTTCGTGAAATGCAGCACAGAGTAGTTCGTTTTCAGTGTTTTCAAGGCGACTATAGTAATCTATTGCAAGTTTGCAATAGAGGCTATTGCAAGAGGCTATAATGTTAATTAATGATGCCACTTAATTGCAGCTCAGCGATGCACAATAGGGTCATCTTGCCGATCTAACGAAGTGGTTGTGCTCACCCAACCATGTGCTTCCACGCCATTGCGGGCGCGCTTGTTTCACAAGTAAAAAGGAATTGGTCACGCGCCACTGCAAGCGCAAGGGTTCTGGATAACACAAAAGTGGTTGCAGCAGTTCATAGAAAAAAGCACTAACTGCGGCTAACTGCGGTAAATGGCGCATGCGCGACAGCAGCAGTTAGCAGCAGTCAGCAGCAGTGAGTAGCAGCCCGCAGCAGTTTCATTGCACTTAAGTCTCCCTGTGCGAGAAGCATTATTAAATGCGTGGCGCGACCCAGTAACGAGCGTGCTAAATCACTCTACAGTCGTTCTTCGCGTTCTTTGGTAAAGTCAATTGACGTTCTATGAGCATTTATTCTAGTATTTCGAATTGTAGAAATTGTTGAGATCTTTAATTTTATATACTAAATTACTAATGTTTTATAACGTTTTAGCGGGGTGTAATTTTGTTAGGTAGGTTTTTAAAATTACAAGTCTTTTGAAAATTTAAGTTTTTGATCTTAACTATTTATTGTTAATAAAATGCTCATTGTAGCCAGTTATTTTAAGATGTTCATCATCAATATTTATGAGAAAAGACAATTTTTTTGTTGAGAAAAGACAGAATTAAAGGAATGTAAAATAAAACCTATTGTTTCATTGAAAATTATTGTTTCATTGATTGCATGCGTTGATAGGTCAAAGATAATAAAATTGTTTTTTCTAAAAATGTTTCTAGAATCTCCACTGCAAAGAGTATGTTTCTCCAGGATGAAACATAAAGGAAGTCCTACAGGGTGAGAATCCTTGTCAGGTTTTGCTGGTTCTTCCAGGGCTTATGTCTGTCCGCATTGCACTTTGTGGCGAGGCAGCATTAGTGTCAATAAAAGAATCTTACTTCTATACTCTTTATGCGGTATATGGACAGCTCCTCTAGAGAACCTATACCTGCAACATGCCGCCGTGGGCTTTTCACGACTTCCAATATACCTATCTTATGATAGAGGCCAGCTAATCGGCTTAATAGATAGCCCTAAACCGGACAACCGGACCGCGACTTAACAAGACCAATGGGACATCTCAACCTGACCACGATAAGGCATTACTCCACACGCAACTCCCCCATGATCCAATCAGGCCCTCTTTCTCGACCATTTCTATACTCAGGCACCGGTCCCCCAAAGCAACTTATCGGGCATCATAACAGTACACAATCTCCTTGACCTCACACCATATTTTTACTTTTTCCGAACCTCCTCAACACACCAGCGATCTGCCCAGCACCACCTTTGGCAATAAACTAAAGAGCATGTCAATGGGGCAAGATCGGTCTCATTTCATAGTCACACGGGATCTATGGTAGTCAATCTTCGGAGGGGCGCCCCCACTCAACTGCCATTGCTCTTGCAATGGTACCAGATGTATCTCTGCATTACCGGGATAGTGGCGCAAACATCTGGGCCTCAGTAGGACTCTTTGGTATTATTGAGTCGCTTGCTCTTTCGAGTCGAGTCAGTAGGTGCTGCACCAAAAAAATAAAATAAAATAAAATAAAGGAAGTCTGGGAGTCTCTGGCCCCTATGATGAGGCTCCGATGATTATCGTCATTGACATTCAATCTCACAGTGGAACGTCAATAGCAGGATAAGATAACTCTTGAATAGAACAAGTCCCAGGCCAGCTTAATAAGACCTAACTGATGTAGATCAGATCTGTTATATCCATCTATTATGCACAATTTTGTGATTGAATATTTTCTAATTTTTCATAACGTTTAAATTGCATTGCGTCTTAAAATATGATGTAATGATAAGTGCTATATTCTTAGAAATGAGTTACAATAGACTAAAAGAAGCGGCTGGAAAGTACAGACGGAACATAAAGCCAATACACTGCACGGTTGTAAAGATAACACGAAAGAGCGCATCAGCTTTCCAGAAAGCTGGTAAGAATGTCACAATAGCATTTATAATATATTTATGAACTTTCCTTTTAGGAGCCACAACTCATTCCGTCCTATGGGAATCTTGCACAATTTCGGTATTCCTAGTTAATCATGTATTATTGATTAGAAATGGGTATACGCGGTATGTAGGTTTATTTCGTAACGAGCGTTAAGTGTTGATAATGATATTCAATTTGGTTATGGTTTCTGGTAAGCCTCGTCTCTAAACATAAAGTTAAGCGTGTTAACATTATTAGATAAACGATTATTTATCTTAGGTACAGAATTATTTCACAACGTTAGTTTGTACTTTGTCTCGTAAGTCATAACTGTTAGCTCTAAAATGGAATTTTTGTGAACACTATTTATTGCTAGGTAGTAGGTGGTAGGTAATGATTTGATTTCTATTTTTAGAATTTTATGATGGCTTTGAAATTAAGGGGGCATGGGGGGGTCTTTATGAAATTTCTCTCGAAATTGGTTTTATAGTTGTTTTTGATAGAGGAGAGTGATCTGTCTGCTGCTTTTGGTTCCATGGAAATATATTGTTCCAAGCCGAAGTTATTGCTGGTCAAAGGTCAGCGCTCATGTGTAATTGTATTGCATGAGCGATTTTCAATCGAGCGCCCTGAAAATTTTGAGATAGGCCTTAGAACATTTTTTATTCAATTTTGAAAATCCCGGACCTGGAAAAATCGTCAAAAAACGAGGTCCAAGATTTTCAAAATCGAATAAAAAAATTTCTAAGGGCCTATCTCAAAATTCTGATCCACCAGAAGTTTTTAAATGGTCCTTAAAACATATTCTGAAAGTTTCAAGGTGATTGCTCAAAAAATGTAGGATAAGATTGAAAATGCAATAACGTCGGCTAGGAACAATATTTTTCCATGGAACCAAAAGCAGCAGACAGATATCACTCTCCTCTATCAAAAACAACTATAAAATTAATTTCAAGAGAAATTTCATAAATACCCCCCCCCCCCCCCCTGCCTTAAGGTGCTCTTTTATAAAGTACTAGAAAGCCCAGAGAGGAAGCTAATAGAATAATAGTATTCTTTGATAGTCATGTTTTTATCGATATCAAAAAATATCCATCCCAACCGAAGATACAGCCGATTTAAATAGGAAACAATTTTAACATAACGTTATTACCACAAAACCGTTCACAATTCAGTTCCAACAATCATTGCACGTGCACGTGTGCCTTCCAACACCGTTGCTATGCAACCTTTTGATTTTTACCTAACTTCCTACTTCTCGCCTAATTTGCACGTGGGCGGTCGTACATACAGACGACAAACAAACATAATCTTTCGAATTATAATTAAGACTAGAAAGCCCGTAGTAACAGGAATGAAGCTAATATTATTCTTCGGTAGTCAACGTCAGTTTTTATCACATCAAAAAATATCCATCATAACTGAAAATAACGTAATTACACAACGTAATTACCGCAAAACAGATCAAAAATGTCGCAAATCTTTGCACGTGCACGTGCGTGTAACAACCCTCGTTACCATGGTTACTATGCAACTTCCTATTCCTTTATTCCTCGTCCAATTTGCACGTGGGTGGTCGTACAAACATAAAAATTGAATCTTTAAATTGTGGCTTTTTCCATTAAATCTGATTGATCGAGGAGCACTACCCAGAGGCATTAATCGGCACTATCGCCTTAAAATCTTTAATTACAATCAAATATATAGTTAAACATAAGCACACAATGTATAAAATATGATTACGCTATTAGCAAAGTTAAATAGTACTATTAATTAAGAATTTTTGAATATCTCTTATCTCTTGATATAAATTTAGAACAGCTACACAGGATCTGAAGAATGCGTGGTGATATTTTTATCTTATTTAAAATGACAGTGAAATTGCGCGGTAGCGATAGCATTGTAAAAATGCTCGTCACTATCAACGTTGATTCAACGTATGTTGTACCAAATTATTCAATTTTTAAATAACTCTTATCTCTTGATATAAATTTGAGTTGTTCCAGTCCTTGTCATCCGGGTTAAGTGCTTGTGCAGTAAGAACATGCTTGCTGACTGTAGACTTGAATGAATTTAAGAATTTGTCTTGTCGGAAAGTCGTGACGTATTTGTTTGTTTGTTGTTTGTATATAGAACCCGTCCCCAATCTCGTATCGGAAAATTGTTAAACTCAGGTCTGAGTGTGAATACGGGTGGTACCTGCAAGAGTGTTCATTAAGCATTTAGAGTTCTGTAAAATTGCAGTTACAATTGTGCTAGAGTATTTTTTACCAGTATATACGATTGGTATCAGATATATATATCCGTACATGCTTCCAAAATTTGTAAAGCCGTAGTACATACGGCTTTAGTACTTATCACATTACACCGGAGCCTTCACAGTGCCTTCTTGTCTGAATTACTTAAACGGTTAAATTGTATTGCAAAGAGCTGAGGTTCTCTTCTCGGTACGTTTAAGTTTGAAACAGTGAAAATTCTCATAATATTTGGTGGTACAGTGTTAGAATATACTTTGTGCATTAAACATATGTATTATAAATTAATCACGTTCGGCCAAGGTAATACTTCTACTTCTAGTTTATGGAAAATTTCCTTTGTGTGTGAAGGTGTACTGTTCAGATATTTGTCATAAAAATAGCGGTGGTATTGGTTGCCTGCAGCGCGAATGCCCTTTTTCTGGGCCGAGAAGACTCTTTTAACGGAGTTTAGTGATCTTGTTCCCCAAACTTTTTGTGATCACTTTGCTTTAATCGTTAACCTCCCATGTAGATTTCTATATCTTCAGTTTTCTTATTTGTAAAGATCAATTATTTAGTTTTGCTAGCATTTAATTTAAGCCCGTTATTAGTATCTCAATCTATTGTCACAATAATGTCATTCATGTATTCTTACTGTGTATAGTATGGAAATGGCATTGTGACATAAATATTAAATATGTGTGTTGGATTTTAGATAGAATCATATAATTATCGTATAATGCATTCATACTTAGTAAACATCTGTGGCACTTTGCGGTTGCAGTCCCGATTAATCACATAAATTAAATCTAAAATAAACCTCTTATCTTTTAGGATTGGAAAGGAAGCTGATGCTACCTGACGAGCTGTCAGTCAATTCCCTGCGTACAGCAATCGCCAAGTTGTATGGACTGAACGCTAACAACAAGATAACACTTTACCGAAAGTTATCTGGTATGTGGATTCCTAGACAATTTTTTGATCTTTACCTATTACCTATATCATTCATCTTCATAATTATAATATAAAATACATGCAATTTTTCAATATGATTGGATTATGGTTAGTCCCTGGAAATATTAATATCCATGCTTCAAGTAAAATCCAGGTTTTATGTAAAATTCTCTTAATTGGGCGATTTTTCTTTTCAATTGTTCTTTTAATTATTTCTCTTGTTGCTAATATTATGTTTATAGTTTTTGTAGCAATCAGAGGGTTTTGATTGAATTTTAAACTGGTAATACTTGTCAGGACTCGAACTAGACGAGGAAGACGTCAAAGCGATTGGTCTTTCAACTACCATATACTGCTTCATGGAGGAACTGGAAGCAGTATATGGTAGTCGAAAGACCAATGATGTGAAGGAACGGCCCAGTAAGGCGACAGCTACAGGTTTGATTGATTGAGGATTACTAGTCACTACCCGGAGGTATTATTCTACCTGGCACTTACGCCTTAAAATCTTTAAGTTTCAAAACAATTAAAGCCGAGAGAAGTTTTAGTCACTGAAGACCCCCTGTTTCTCAGTAACAACAAACAAAATTACAGAACTGCAGTGCACCTCATCACGGGACATTGTGGCCTCAACAAACACCTACACACCATTCACAAATCAGATACAAGTGCTTGTCCTAAATGCGGCGACGGAGAGGAGACTGTCTCACACTTTCTCGGACAGTGCCCGGCTATTGCCCAAATAAGAGGTCAATATTTCCGGGATTACTACCTCTCTGTCAATGACATATTCGACAACCAACACATCTCCACCATTGTCAACTTTACAAACCACACTAAACGCTTAGTGGTGCCGGAGGAGTTGGACCAGACAGGTGTAACATAGCGACTACTTTAACGCCGTCTTGTTTCGCCCCTCTCTTCCACACTCAACCACCAATTAAGCGTTTATCTATGACACACCCCACAACACTTATCATCATCCTTGATTACACATCTTGATTCCACTGGCATCCTCCCACAGGACTGCCATACCCCAGAGGTAGGCAAAGCATCCATATGCTATCCTCTCGTGGGCCAACCAGGCCCAGCCCCTCTTTAAAAAAAAACAAAAAAAAACCCTGTTTGGAATCAGCTCCCTTATCAGTTGTGAACATTAACCGATATTGTCTTGTTTAAAAAGAGACTAAAATTCATATCTCTGAAAAAGCATTCATCTTACTATATATATATAAAGCGAGACGATATATACAGGATGGGCCAAAAGTCAGTACCCATACGTTGGGTCTTATACCTCCGCTGTGATTTATATTTGAGAGTTGTTGTTTTGCAGATGGCATACTGTACCTACTTGTTCGAGGATTCTGTCGCCAAAATTTGAAAATTCGGATATTTTAAACCACGCCCATTCAATATTAAAACACCTATATTGTTCTTTCTGAACATGCTGGACGCCTAATTTTTTTAGAGACGGTAGATTATTAAATGTTACATCCGATCTGAAAAAATGATGTGAAACGAATTTGAAATGAAGAAGTTATCAAGCATTTTCTGTATCTCGTTAACAAAATTGACTGGGTGATTATGTGACACGACACCTTAATTGGGCAGCCTTAACGATTCCCATAATGTTTAATATAACGGGGTGGTTAACGGGGTGACCTTATCACGCGATTACTCGATTAGGTGAGCCAATCACCTGATCACACGTAATGAATAAACTCGTTATGCTTCGTATCTCGGTGATCTGAGAAGCTACAACTCTCATTTTTTTCATGACAAACGTAATTCGAATGGCCAAACACAATTCAATAAAATTTGGCTCGATCCGACTATCCAAACTATCAAATAAATGCGAAAATGAACCTTAATTTTTTTAAATGAACATTTCAATTTGACAAATTCCTCGAACCAGTCGTGGTAGCAAGTCATACCAGAAAGAATTATTTCAATTGGGCACTCAGTGACTGAGCTATTAAGGCCAACGTATGGGTACTGACTTTTATTCATGGGAATAAAAGCAAAATTATAAACTGTATGATTTAACACAAGTTTTAAATGTGATGGGAAATATATGCTATAGCAATCGCCTGCGCTATGTTCTACGATTGACCATGATTTTATTGTCCAGGATCAGGATTAGTAGTTGAATCAACTTTTAAGCCAAAGCGTATGCGCTCCAAAAGCATGAACCTTCCCGAGGAACCTTCAGGTAAAGTAAAATGTCATCAAATGATATGGGCCCGTAATCTGTATACTTTTTCGTTCTTTTCCGTATACTTTTCCGTTGTTTGCTCATCAAAACGTCAATTTATTCAATAATATATAAACTATTACAGGATCTCAGATGGTCATGAGCTCCTTTAAACCGAAGCGTTGCCGGTTTAGGACAGCTGACATTCTGGCTGCTGGAGCTCCTGGTGCTACAACAGGGATCGGGCACCACTGTACAGTTGAAGAGTACAGCCTTGAACGGCGTGAGTTCATGAAGACTGAGGGGAGACTGGAAATTACTGACGTTAGTCTGGGAAGGGGAGGGTACAGAAGGGTATCAAAGGGTAGGTTGCTGCGAGGTGAGGACATCATGGATGTAGCAGTGAAGCTATTCCACGAGCAAGGGATTGAGCGAATACGGAATGGGGGATTGACGGTAGAAGAAGAAAGCCGGAGATATGTTAAATGTCTTGAGGTGGCGCACGCCTTGGCGCTAGAATTCGCCAAGGCCACAGGAGAACCCTTGGGCTATAACAAGGGAATGCTTGTTACATCAGAAGAGAAGGTTTTTATGGTAGAACCGATGTTGAATGGACAACCATGGAAACTTGTCAACAACGATGGGAAGAGTTGTGGCAACCCTGAGCAGGTGCCTATACCTAAGGAGACTGTGGAGGCATTTGTCCACTTCACATACCATGCTACAGAAGGGGCGCTTCTCGTCCTTGATATCCAAGGTATGGGTACTTCGCTGATGGACCCGGAGATATCAACATCAGGGCAGATTGATCCACTTGAGGAGTACTTCAATGTCGGCAATTTTGGCCAAGATGGTATTAAGAACTTCTTTGAGTGGCATATTTGCAACGATATCTGTAAAGATTATAAAGCATTCAAGTAGAAACCTTTCAACATATTTGATATATAATAGGATTTAATGCTAGATGATAGATTATTCATTATATGAATAAGAAACTAATCGGGATTAAGGGTGCAGGGAGGGTCTTCAAAAAAAAATGAGGTCCACGGTTTTCAAAAATCGAATAAAAAATGTTTAAATGTTTAAAAGCTTATCTCAAAATTTTGTCTATACAATCTCGTCCAAATGATCCTTACAACATTTAATGCTGTAAGTTTGAGGGTGATTGCTCAACAAATTTATAGGAGAAAATAGATTTTAGGAGAAATAGATTTTTATAGGAGAAAATAGATTTTTAGACTCGATTTTCAGGGGGCACGTGATCGAAAATCGCTCGTGCAATACAATTAATACACACAAGCGCTGACCTTTTACCGGCGATAATTTCGGCTAGGAACAATATTTTTCTATCGGATTGAATAAAAGAATCTGATAGATATTACTCCCTTCTATCAGACACAATTAAAAAGTCGATTTTCAAAAAATTTCCATGAAGACTCCCCCTGCCCCCTAAAATTAATTTTAAACTTGATCAAAGACATAATTATGAAATCACTGTTTTTACAAATTTCAATTCGTTGATTGGTTAAACTCTGTGAGTTTGAACTTGTAAGAAGAATTTTATTGTTAGAGTTTATGGTTTGAATGAAAATTTTATAGATATTTGACGTTTTTAATAGCGATTATTCGTTATGTGAATAAGAAACTGATTGGGATTAAACTAATTTTTAACTTGATCAAAGACTTAATTTTACAAATTTCAAGAGTTTCTGCTCAATTGTTAATATTTGTTGATTGGTTAAACTCTGTGAGTTTGAACAAGAATAATCTTTTTGGATTTTGTGGGGTCGAAAATTTTATAGATATTTGAGGTATTTAATAGCAGATATATCTAGCGTTTAACTCATATCAAGTCAATATGTAGCATCTACATATTATCACCTTTCTTCTTGGTTACCGTCAGTAACTTTTTATATCAAAAGCGCCTTGAAACTGACTGGTGAAATGTTAAAAAGTCATATTTATACTCTATAGACAGTTCCTCTACAATGTACATTTAGTACATCAAAATCTTTAAACGTATAAACAATTATTGTACTACATTAATTTATTGTATTGCCAACATTTTTATTTGTACTTATTAGAATAGAATGGCTTGGAAAGGTGATGACACCCTCAGATTATACCTGGACACCAAGGTCCAAAGAAATTGGGACATCCGGAATGAGATTCTACCTTCATTGCCCAAAGAGTTCCCACATTACAAGTTCAGTGAATCCAACCTACGCAGGTGAGTCTTAATTAATTCGGTTTTAATTCATTTATTCATGAATAAATGGCAAAATGTGGCAAAATGAAACAAAGAAACAGGTTTTTGAATCTCTCTTTTTCTTGTGTCAAGTATCGATATTGATAATTACTCAAAATCTTACACACAACAGTGACCGATGATATAATTTGACTATGTTTGATTGTTTAGTATCTTTAGTAACTTTAATTATTATAACATGCTCACTAGGTGCTTTTATCTAGGTTACACTCACAGGCAGCCCCGGCCTTGGCCTTAATATTAATAGTTATTACAAGTTAGTTTTATCGGATTTTCTTTTAGAATGCTCAAACATTTCGGGATTAGGAAGACCAGAGAAGCGGACAAAGCCAACCTCAGGGGGTACATAGAGCTGATATTGGCAAGAAGCACTGGTTCCCTAGGATACCGAGCTGTTGCAGCCATACTAAGGTTGAAAACTATTAGATAATTATCGTTTATTTGAGCAAGAAAATCTTTGACACAACAGAATTATAACAATTACAACTCGATGGCCTCCTCTTCAAATATTTCTGGATAACTAAATGGAGGATAAGTGCGAACTAAAACATCCTTTCAGGAATAAATATGATATTCGGGTATCAGAAAAAGCCGTCGAGGACGAACTCTTAGAAATTGAACCGGAAAATGTTGCGAGACGTGACCCTGCCAATAAGCTGAAACACGTACAGAAAGGTGATTTTTCGGTGAAAGGTCCGAACTATCTGTATTCCCTAGACGGACATGATAAGCTGGCAGGGCTGTTTGGTGCAACATTCGACATTCATATATATGGGTGAGATATACTGTACACATTTGGCCTTGGTTCTACACTGTCCAAGCTTCCGGTTTATTCAAGTTTTTTATGTAACATACAAATTTATCATCACTAGCTTATTTTCAACTTTATGAACGATGCAAAAATAGTTACATCTCAGAAAGAAAAATGTCATTGCTAAGAGTTAGGTCACAGGGTTTGTTGGTAACAATAAACTTTCTAACGTCAATCAGATGCTTACAACTTCTTTGCTAGCCTGTAACATTTTTAAGACGTGTGCCTAAAAATGAATGCTTGAGGTCCTACGTTTGGTATATATATATTATATATATATATAATATTCTGAACTGTGGACAAAAATATTTGGAAAACGTATTTATAAGACCCTACTGCCTTCTTCGGCAGATAACGTCTACTTAGGAGCCTCCACTCTAGAGTCAGATGGCTCACAGCCCTGTCCCAAAAATAACCACTTCTAAGATTTTCACATTTCACAATCTCAATACATTAATACCTGTTTCAGGGCAATGGACACGTTCAGCCGTAAAGTTATGGTCATGAAGGTGGCACACACCAACAAAAACCCAAAAATTGTGGGTAAGATGTACTTCGACTTTGTGATGAAAAACAGGTTCATACCAAGGAGAATACGGGTGGACAGAGGTACCGAAACAGGAGAAATTGCTGCTATCCAGGTGAATAAGATAAACTCTTTATACTAGCAACCCTCCAGGAAAAGGATGCCGGGAAATGGCAAGTGGAATCAGAGGGAATTAATAAATATACAAATGTCAATATACAAATGTCAATATACCTTAAGAACGACAAAATATTTAGTCTACCATAAATTTAGTCAAACTTTTGACTAAAATTGTTGTAAACCAAATTTCATGAGACTAAATTTTTCGGCGACTAATTTTAAAGCAGACTAAAATTTCAGTAGAGCAAATATGACAGGAATATTATTAAGCTTACATTGTTTATAATTAATATATTATGACATCACCGTTCCTACTGCACAAAACCGTACCAAAGTCCTATTGCATTTAAACATTACATTGTTAATCGATCCATCCCAATGCATTTCTGGATCTGATGTTATTGAAATTCCTGAGTAATGCAAAACGCACTTTATAATGACAGGACTATATAGTGACAAGTCACTATAAAGTGCTTGTCATTATATAGTGTTGTCATTATATAGTGCGGGAATCGAGCCAAAAGGGTGTGGGGCGCCAACAGGGAGGGAGGGGGGCGCTTTTTCAATAGGAGGTGGGGGCGCCAACAGGCAACGTTACGCCACTGCAGTTCTTTGAACTTGATAAGACGCTTAGTGTGTGTTGCAAAGTTAACAATAATACTAATATTATGTTAATCGTGGTATGGCTACCTCAAATTGGATTCGCCAGTGGTGTCAAGCTCAGCCAGTTCATAAGCTTTTGAATTTACCCACAAACCTACGCGTGCTGCTATCCGTCGGATTTCAAGTGAGCAAGTGTTCGTGGATCCGGGAGCATCAAGGGAGTCAAACATATATCTAAGTGCTAGTAGCTGAACTCATCTTAACTTCTTTACATTGGATTCAGTTATTGTAGCAGTAAACTAAAATAAGTCTGATGACAGCTCTGTTTATTCATTTGCATGTGGCCAAAGTTTAACAATATATCTAAAGTTCTGCAATATCCTTATTTTCAGCTTTTTCTCCTTCAGAAGAATGGTTTCCCCCAAACTCCAATTGAGGGAGTCATATATGGACCAAGCACAGCCAATAGAATAGAACGACTTTGGAGGACACTAAAAGAACACCTCGAACCTATGTACAAGGAGCAGCTCCGGGAATTGGCATCTTCCGGATATTACCAGCCCGCTGATCCGGTTGACAGGAACTTATTATCGGCGATCTATATTCCTCATGTACAACGGTCTCTGGACGAGTTTGTCCAATACTGGAATAGCCATAAGTACGTCGACGTTAATGATTGTTGTTGCGAAAGTTTGATCGGATCTGTGAATATTAAGTTGTGTTTATAGTGGCGATAAAAACTGAATTTCAAATAATACTATTACCTTCCTGATCCCTGTGACCACGCGCCTTCTAGTATTTTAATATTTCCAATTAAGTGAGATTGACCTTTTTTGCTGTTTTTGCAGAACTTTTAAGTTTTAACTCAAGGTCACGTTTTGCCGGGAATATAAACATAGTATAGCAAAGATATTACATATATTATGCACATATAACGTGTAAGTTGTTCCGGTCAAAGACTCCTTAAATTAGCAAGGATCTCAATTTAGTTATGAACACTTTAGGGGAGTTAAATGATATAAAAACTATAGCAGATAGCTCGCTGTAGGAAATCTTGGAGATATCTATTGTAGTTTAATGCACAGTTTATTTGCGGTGTGAAGATTTTTTTGCCACGGTACATTATATTTGTACTGTATTATCCTGTTATAGATACTCGATATTATTATAAGTTAACATTTTGAATATTTTTAGGATACGGGCTCAGAGTATTGAAATGCCATGCGGACGTCCTGATGTTTTGTTTGACAATCCTGCTGAACCTTATCAGGTAGATAGGAACAGTCAATATAATGTTCGTCTCAAATTTAATTCAATTTATGGGGATTTATGCGATAAGATTAAGATACCGTTATCTACAATTTTGCTGTTATCTTTTAGTTTAATACTAAAATATATATTTTATAGGACTGTAGGATTGTAGTCACAACTGCAGACTTGCTCGAACTTTCTGACCAATCAGATATGAATAACGTGCAGACAGAATTGCAATTACTTCCTGAGGTCGCTGCTGCGTTAAATAACGTTAATCTCCTTGATGTAAGTGTCATTGGGGAGCTCACAGCTCACAGCTTCACAGCTATAAAATTTTTCTTGTTACAATGTAGTACTGAAAGTATATACTATTATAGATATACTAAAAGGCCAGTTATGGCATCACGAAATATCCTTATCAACCAAAGATACAGGTCATTTAAATGTAAAACATACTAAAAAATTTAAAAAATTCGTGAGGTTCTAACTCCATTTGCGAGCTGAATGGACTCATCGAATACAGATTCTAATGGAAATAAATAGTATTAATTAAAATATAACGATCAAGATGCACATTAACAATTTTCCGACGAAATTCATTTTAATCAATATTATATAGTTATATGTGACCGTAAAATAGTTTTCCGCTGCAAAATAGTTTCCACTGTAAAATAGTTGTTGACTCATTCAGATTATATTGTAAAGAAAGCCTGTTGTCAGAGGGGTATTCTTCGATACAAGTCGAAGATGTCTCGAAAATAATCAAAAACTATTGAATTTCTAAGTATATAATTTGTGAAATTATCAAAAATATCACATTTATTAATTTCAGTCCTTTTTTGACTAATTTAGTAGCCCAAAACTCCGATTTACCGCTTTTTTACTCTCCACATCTGAAAGCTCAGATCAAATTTCAATCTGGAAATAAGGAATACCTTTTTGTATATTCTCAAAGTGTGCGTAAATTTTGTGTAAAGCATTCGTTTTAATTTCAGGTAAACATGATATATTTTAAGAGGCAAAATTCATATAATTGCTGATTTAAGAATGAATGAGTGACTTCAAGGAACTGAGAGTGTTATAGTCTGAGTGTAATAGTCTAACAGAAATTGTAGAAAATGGTTAACTTTAGTTAAGGTTTCACGTCTCTACGACCTTTGGTTTTAGCGCACTGAATCTTGTGCGTCAGCCGCAACCCATCCGTTGTCTCTTGTCTCTTATATATAAGAGATATATAAAATATGTGTAATATATGAAATATGAGTAATAAAATTCGATCGAAGAGAGTTTAATTTCTATCGTCAGTTAAAATAGCTCAAAGCATATCACAAAGTCGTCGAATTTCGATGTATCTTTCATTTTCGGTTTTGGCACTGTGATATACTGACACGGTAAGCATGCTCAAGCATCGATTCTTGAAGAGATTGAGTTGTGATGGTGTATTTTTTTCACCACAAGAACGGGATGAAGAATTTATAACAAATTGTTTAAGCAGAAACTATGTTGTACTTTTGAACTGATTGACGTACGTATCCTTCAATCTTTCAGTGTCTAAAATTTCAGGAGGCACCACAACGCGCAGAGAGGCAATATGTACGTGCACGTTCAATCATCACAACAGCAACAACAACTTGATTAGCTTTTTGTTTTTTGTGGTTGAACTGCTGAAGATAGGACATTTTTTACCACATGATTTTCTTTCTCAGCTATAACTCAGATATTCTCGGATAAAACTAAGATTATAACTGATTTTTAACAATTATTTCATATAATCTATTTATTAAATATTATATATATACCTGTCACCTGATGTGTTTTGGACTCTTTCACTGTCCTTTATACAAATGAACCTTATTTTATCGATTTTTCTATTGAGTTAAAAGCTTCATGACTTAAAGCCATTTTTCTTCTATTTTTCTATAAAAATTTTCCATACGAACTCAGAAAAATAAAGCCTATAGTATAGAGTGGTTCGGACTCTACGATGTTGGAGGGGTCTGGATTTTAGGGAAGTGCCCTAGACAGAACTCTACGGCGTGGAGACGTCAAAAACAGTACCCTACAGCGACAATAAAAATTTCCTATTTTCGTTTAAAATAGATCTAGGATGGCATGGTCACCGGAAGTGTTCTTTATAAACACAGACTAAATACAACAGAATAAAAAATTTACACGGTGGTATAAAACATTGTGACACCCAATTGGTTTCTACCTTTAGAAAGTATTTAGAATTGCTTGAAAATAATACTAAGGATAAGATAGCTCGACCGAGTTAGATAGAAATACTAAAGTGCTGAAGCGTGCTAAGTTTAATCCAATAAGAGGCGTACATAGAAGCAAACACACGAAAATATTGGTGTCGGACAGGAGTCGTGTTACCGCGTAAGCACTGGAGGGAGATGATACTACACAAACGAGAGTTCATTGGTGCACGCCACTCAAATTATTGAAGTACTGTTATAGTGGTTATTATAATCTGCACTCTGCAGATTGCCGAAGGCTTATGTTGTCCAATCGATTACGAGCTGATCAAGTGGCATTTGAATTATAGCGGCCACTGCTGCACAAATCATTCGATTACGATTCTTCCGCATCTTTCAAGTTCTACATCAACAGGTGACAGATCGATCTAATTTTACGATCATCCGAGAAAAAATGGGAGAATTTTCTTGTTCCGCCTGTTTCTTTACGTTTCCCCACCGTCAAGTCCTGACTCCTGTTCTGTAGGGTGTCTCGCGCTGTTGAGTCCCGGATTCGGAATGGGACTCTAAGTTTTGACTCATTATATTAATAAATACGCATGATTAACGGAAATTTCAAATCAGAATTATTTCGAATCAGAATTTCTCAATCACAATAGTTAATAGTTGAAAGGAAATGATCTTGTTTTTGCTTGTCAGTTGTCATCTTTTGAGTATAAAATAGAGAAGGTTATTGATGGTTGGGGTTCTTCTCCGGATGATTATGGTGGTAGTATGATCTGTTGATGTAGAAATTGATGAATGTGGAGGAATAGGTAACAAACTATAATATTATACGGCTGCGCTATTTAAATGCCGCTCTTACACCACAAAGTGTCACGGATCTAAGTGGCAAGTATAATTACAACATCAAAGCTTGGTTTTGGGCATCTTCAGTTATATTTTAAATTGGAATGATTCATACACACATTATAATACATTTCGATCCTTTTGTCAGACAAGCATGTATACTTTTCAACTTCACTGCACAGTTCAGTGTACACAGTGAACGGTGCAAAGATAGTGTGAAAATGGCGCCAAACTAAAGGTAAGGCGCGGCTTCAAGTAAATAACTAAATTAGTCAATAGCTGCTTCTCAGTTTGACACAAATAAACGCGCGCGCGACAAACCACAATAAGTCTCAAATTGAAATGACACACATGCGCCACCTATTGATTTACATTATAAACCTGGTAGCGCATGTCTGTCACTTTTGTTTTTGACACACATGCGCTACCAGGTTTATCATGTAAATCAATAGGTGGCGCATGTGTGTCATTTCAATTTGAGACTTATTACGTAAGGGCTGGGAACCCCCAATTCGGTTTCCTATGATAGATAGTGTCATGTAAGCTAGGCCTAGAGCTGAGGTCATCGAGAGTCGCACAAAATGACCCAGGTTCATAGAATGAACGGAAATGAACGGAAATGAATTGTATCCAAAAATTGCTCATAATGGTTCAAAATTGGTCTGAAGAATTTGGTTGGTCCTAGGACCACCCTAGCAAATTTTGGGAATTACTATTTAGATTTTTGGTGCCATTTCGAAGACATGAGGACATAGTAGTATTCACTGTATTTGAGTGCTGGGAAGCATTAATTCGGTTTTCTTCCCAGCGCTCAAATACAGCTTATACTTCGATGTCCCGGGTCCCCATGGCCATATATAATGTATAATGGGGCTATTATAATAGCCCCATGGATCCCTTCGTCCCCAAAATTTGCTGGAGTGGTCGCAGGACCAACCAAAACTCCTTCAGACCAATTTTGAACCATTATGAGCACTTTCAGGATACAATTCATTTCCGTTCATTTCCGTTCATTCTATGAACCTGGGTCATTTTGTGCGACTTTCGATGGTCTCTAGGCCTAGCTTATGACACTATCTATCATAGAAAACCGAATTGGAGGTTCCCAGCCCTTACGTAATAAGTCTCAAATTGAAATGACACACATGCGCCACCTATTGATTTACATGATAAACCTGCTAGCGCATGTGTATCATTATTTTTTTTGACACACATGCGCTACCTAGGAAGCGCATGTGTATCATTATTTTTTTTGACACACATGCGCTAGCAGGTTTATCATGTAAATCAATAGGTGGCGCATGTGTGTCATTTCAATTTGAAACTTATTACGTAAGGGCTGGGAACCCCCAATTCGGTTTTCTATGATAGATAGTGTCATAAGCTAGGCCTAAAGACCATCGAAAGTCGCACAAAATGACCCAGGTTCATAGAATGAACGGAAATGAACGGAAATGAATTGTATCCTGAAAGTGCTCATAATGGTTCAAAATTGGTCTGAAGGAGTTTTGGTTGTAACCATGTCATAACCATGTCATAACCATGTCATAACCATGTCATAACCATGTCATAACCATGTCATAACCATGTCATAACCATGTCATAACCATGTCATAACCATGTCATAACCATGTCATAACCATGTCATAACCATGTCATAACCATGTCATAACCATGTCATAACCATGTCATAACCATGTCATAACCATGTCATAACCATGTCATAACCATGTCATAACCATGTCATAACCATGTCATAACCATGTCATAACCATGTCATAACCATGTCATAACCATGTCATAACCATGTCATAACCATGTCATAACCATGTCATAACCATGTCATAACCATGTCATAACCATGTCATAACCATGTCATAACCATGTCATAACCATGTCATAACCATGTCATAACCATGTCATAACCATGTCATAACCATGTCATAACCATGTCATAACCATGTCATAACCATGTAAGACAAATGCGTCATAGCCATGTCACAAGCTGACCACTATGATTGCATTAACAATAAAGCGTTATTCTAAAAATAATTATGAATTATAACCGAGAAAACACGTTTACTTTTTCATTATTCTTATTTTGTAAATGTGCTGTAATTATTTTGTAATTCTCACGCAGTACAGGCAATTACGATGTTTTATATTATTAGTCTTAGAAGACTGATCAGCGCATCAAATAATGTTTTTTGCTAGATCGGCGCGATGCACAATTTATTAACTGGGCCGTACTGCCAGCTAACTGTGACATGTAAAATATTGACGTTGTTTTTATTCGTTCGTAAATGATAAACGGTTGCGGAATGACATTGAAAAGGCACAGGCTGAGCGCCGCCCAGTAACACAGACATTCGAAAAGAAAGTTGCGCGTGTTACTTCGAACAAATTTAGACAAGCATCATCCGTCGACGTACCGGCGAGTTCAATTTCCAATCCTTTCTTTAACAGGTGATACTTGTAGTCGTAAAATATTTGCTTCAAATATTAATCAGGACCGTCGACGAGTCCAACTCGGCGCTCGTCCTGGTAGGTTATAAACCTACAAGTCACGCGTCGCGATCCTCATTTGTATTTCATTTCGCCCCCGCTATGCTATACCGTGGCGAAAGCCCCGATACGACCGCGCAGCCCACAACGAAGGGCTGAGGGTAATAAATTTACCGGATGGTGCAGGGAAATTGGTAAAAACACGACTTCAATCTTACATTAATTGTTAATTGTATAAAATTCTAATTTCAGGTAAACAAGCAAAGTTTGTTTTTAATTATTACATATAAGTATAACTATTAGTTGACGGATGTTACTCGTTTAAATTTTTCGATGCGAAGTTTACTGGGCCGCGCTCAGCCTCAAGCCTGTCATTCCGCCGAATTTATATGATTATGAACATATATAATACACAAATTAAGTGCAAGTAAGTAAGTAAATATTTCATGCTAGGCATGTGGCACCCATTACGGTACGGGTAACCACTAACCATCCATTGAGTTTTTGCTTTTTCGCTTTGCATAGCAGCTCAGCGAGGTCCGCAGGGGTGCCGGGTGCATTTTGCCTATATCTAACGACAAACACAGGTGGCCTTACGACGAGAAGCATTATTGCCTTATTGGATCGATGCGCGGCAAGCTTGCTAGTTGCTACGAAGTATCCCGAAACTGGTTAGTCCATTATCATTTATAACAATAAACACATTGTTGGCACTTGGCAGTTGGCTTGATACACGAATTGCATTTCGATCTTCGCACACGATCCCAGGATTCAATATGCAATACTTGGCGGCGCTCAGCCTGTCATTCTACCGCACGCGCAGCAGGCAGCTTCATTCATCCATAGCTCCATTCTCCAATGAGTATGTTTATAAATATTATAGCTTGTAGCACGATGCGTTACTGTGCCGCGCCGCGCATTCAATTATTGATTATGCTTCTTGCAACGCTAAATCGGTGAAATGCGCTACTGTGCCTCGCCGAGCTGCGATGAATTGACATCGTCAATTAACATATATTATAGCCTGTGCAGCAACAGTACACGCGCTTTAACCTAACCATGTGCTTTCGCGCCACTGCCTGCAGCGTGCAGGCGCGCTCGTTTCACACGGGAGGCGAGCGGACGCGGAGAGGAGTTTAAAGATAAAATAGAGATAAGGATAAAATACATATATAAATAGATAAAGATAGCGATTAGAAAATTAAATAGAGATTTTACAGCAATTTTACAAAAATGACACACATGGGCCACCTAATGATATACATGATAAACCTGGTAGCGCATGTGTATCAAAAAAATTTTTGACACACATACGCTACCTAGGAAGCGCATGTGTATCATTATTTTTTTTGACACACATGCGCTTCCATAGTTGCGAGAAGAATTATTTGATGCGCGGCGCGGCCCAGTAGTGCATCGCGCTACAAAATCGAGATCAAATCTTTTGCAATGTTTCCAGAATCAATACATGCTTACCTGAGGACCCCAGGCTATTTAATTTTAATTACTGATTATGTTCATAATGTAAACATTAAAAATAAAGATTTGGCGGAATGACAGGCTGAGCGCGGCCCGGTAATAAGCTTGGGGTCCCCATGTAATTATATTGGAAATATTACATATATGTTTTTCACATAGCCATGTGCCTACGCGTACTGCGTGACGCGCGCTACTGCAAGCGAGAGGGCTCTGGTTAGAGCAATATATGTTTATAACTTTCTAAGCTTCGCAATTTCAAACTTATCGACGATCGATCTAATATTGCACGTCAGGATGCAGGAAATCAAAGCAATTGCGTAAAGTGCATGACGACGTCCTCCAAAACACGAAAAGATATTGTACAGCTTACAAATAAAATATTATCCTTTATAATTTACCGTCAGCCATTGCATCAAACATTTGTCTCACCTTGCGTCATTATCTTGGGACCCCAGGCTAGGCTTTACCTGAGGACCCCAGGCTTTAATGTTGTAAACAACATCGAATAGAGATTAGGCGGAATGACAGGCTGAGCGCGGCCCAGTAAGCTAGGCTATAATCATGTTAATATTCATAAAGATAATATAAAGATAAGGCGGAATGATAGGTTGTCCATTGTTAATAGACTATTCCGGCCTTGTATGTTAATAACCTCATTTGTTATTATTTTGGGCCGAAGTAAATTGTCTTTTCTCAAATTGTCTTTTCTCTAAAAACTCATAAATGTTACACACCAAATGCAAATTTGTTATAAAGCCTAATAGTCTGTGTTATTTGGTTTGAGGTTGTGGTACGCTCTTTACACTTTAGCTGTATCATTTGGATACGAAGCCTACTAAGCATTTGCCATTTTCGCTACGAAATAGTCATTGATCTCATAAGACAAAGCCATTATTCAAATTGCGTTCCTGGGATCAAATTATCTCTGATTACATATTCAGCGGTTTAAAAGATTTTACTCATCTCTTGAGCATGGGTTCTAAAATAACCTCAACTCAATAGCCCTTCGTGTGAATCGAATTTTCTTTACTGTATTATACTACTATACATCCTTAACCATCTTATAAACTCGTTTTCACGACCCTTTCCTTGAATGGTTGTGCTTGAGGCTGTTGACCGCATTTGTGTTACTGATAACCAACATGCCCTAGAAAAATCTCCTTTGGTTAGTACTGTAGTACGTTGTTTTATTATATCCCCATTTGTTACTGTTTTACAGTGCATTCAGCATTGCACGTATACTGAAGGTACAGTTACCGATATTGCATGATGCAATTTGCATCAACGTGCTTAGCACAACCTCTGGTACTAGGGGCCCGAGGAACTGGATCAGACCGGAGTGACCCTAAAGCCTTTTTTCATTCTGGTTTTGCTCTTTTTATCTGGGTTTTAACATTTCAGCTTCGGCTCTTTTATAATTCTTACTCATTCCACCTGCCACTCTATCTCATTTATATTCCTATTAATTTCCCCACATCCTTGGATAGTTACCCCTGAGGTGGGAATCTTGACCTACTTTAAACATGATTTTGATCATCATACATTAGTAGTTAAAAACTTATTTAACAATATCAAAAAGACTATATTTGGCAGATTCTAAAAGATACTACAAAAATATGTCTGCGGTATAAGTCTAATTCTTACGTACACCAGCTGACATGATGATTTTTTGCCATATCTACCAAATTTAAGTTCTTACCTATAATTGCATTGGTATGCTGGAGATACTGCTGACCGCCCCAGTGGCGTAACGAAGGGCCCCGCTGACCCCGCTGTGCAGGGGGGCGCTGTCTTAGGGGGGCGCCAAATCGTTGTTTGAATGTGGGACAATTTCGAAAACTTAACTTAAGTACTAGCAAAACTGCGCGTTTTGCTCTAGATACACACTTTTTTTGAGATTTTACCTACGTATCCTCTAAAATCACCTAATTTGTTCAATTTTAGGGAGGGGCACCAAAAGGGGAGGGGCGCCAACAGGGGGGGCGCCTTTTCGGCGGGGGGGGGGGGGGGGGGGGGGGGGGGGGGGGGACGGGGGCGCCAACAGGCAAGGTTACGCCACTGGACCGCCCCATGCTAGAAGGGAGCCATGAAATTCACATATTAGTTCTTATCTTATCTTATCTTATGAGGATTCGTTGCGACGCAACAAGGCCATCGAATGAGTCGACCACCTTTGTTATTTTACTTCGGCATTACCTGCATTACAATGTAAACCAGCACTTTCAAGGAAGAGCTTTACAAGAAGCCGAAGGATCGTTCCTAAGGCCAGCAACGGTTAAGGCACTATGCCACACTTTCTTCGCCCGAGGCTTCGCTGTGTTGATCAAGCACAGCTCCTCATTTAACCCTCACACCCGATTTCTCGAGCATTCAGCTGAGTGAACCGTGGGGCTACATAGACCACTTGGGATCCTTAGCAGAGCGTCAACGACGCTCACCCCACGACTAGGCAGGCAGTTGGATTCGAACTCGCAACCTCACGATTACAAAGCCGATGATTAACCAACTGCGCTACCTGGCCGTTGCGAATAATTAAAAAATTCGAGCACTCACAGATACGTGAAATATCACTTGTCACTGATATTTGAAACTGTTAACTGATATAAATATTATCACTAGATTACTGCCTTCTTTAGGGTTTTGTCATTTTGTTATTTTATCAAACATGATACACTCATTTATCATTTTCAAATGATGGAGCTAAATTATATAACAACTTAAAATTTTCGAAATTGTAGACAAGTAGTAGTATAGTTCCTATTTTAGACAAGTAGTTCTTAGTTTTTACTGTAATCTACCAGTACTTTTTACCTGTCTCAGCTATTTTTATGTATATGTACATTTTTTCACTCAATTAAAATCTATCTAAAATTAGTTTCTGTTAGTTACAGATCACTCTAAACTCTCTTTCCTACAGAAATGAAAAATGGGTACTGTATCACTTGAGATTTTGAAGAATTATATTCAGTCACAAGGTGGTGCTGTCAGTAGTCAACAGATTGTTCGTCATTTTCAGCCCTTTCTAAAAGATGCTAACAACAAAGGTAAGTTTCAGGGCTGTTCCAGCATTGTAGTTTAGGTTTTGTGCCAGCAAGTTTATTAATATGAAGTGCTAGTGCATTGGTTTTGTGCCAGCAAGTTCATTTGATATGAAATGCTAGTACATTGGTAAAGCTCATTAATGCAATAGGAGAACTGATGTTGCTTCAATACATGTAATGTGGATTGTGGATGTATTTTCTACATTAGATTGAATGGTGTGATTGAAGCTGTCATTGAAACAAAGATCTTAGACTAGATTGATATAGACTATAGAGTATTACATTATATGAAATATTGATTTAAAACTTTATCCAACCTATTCTCCTCAACTCAGCTCACAACAAGGAATTATTCAAGAGTTATCTTTCAACTCTCACAGACTATCGACAAGAACCTGTAAGGAACTATTTTAAACATTTTGGTATATTTTTTCAATGTATCAAAAGCTTTGAGTTTTGAAAATGTGACAAGTCTTTGATTTATTAGAAAACAGCTGTATCATGATCGAATGAACTGAGCCCTGTAGTTATCTATTTGTGCTGCCTTCATCATACACTATTTTCAGGGTACAAATGTTCGGATACTCGAGCTAAAAAAGGCTTACAGAGATAGTCCCGTCCCTCAATCACCAACATCAAAGGAGAACAAGCCCAGAAATGAGGGCACTCGGCCAGGATTTCAGGACCAACTGAAGCCAATGAGAGAGGCCCAGCTCTCAGCTGCAGCCCTGAAATCTTCACCACAGAAGGATCCTATCCGCAGCGAGGTGCCACGGTCACCAAGAGACATCGACGGAGAGCGGATGAGACGGGAACAGTCGCGGGAGCGTATCAGACGTGATCAGTCCAGAGATCAGCTGATGAGAGACAAATCACGTGACAAAATACACAGGGAGTACAGTAAGGATGATCAGCGGGAGTTCCAGCGGGACCCTCAGCGCCAACTAACACGTGACCAGTCACGTGAGTTTCAGCAGGACAAAGTGGGGGGTGCTGCTGCTAGAACTCCCACTACTCCCAAACAGCTGACTCAGGAGCGCAGTCCCCGGAGCGGGACAAGGAGGACTGCTCATGAGAGGAGGAGTCCAGCGCCACAGCGGTCACCCACCACCACCACAGCGCCACAGCGGTCACCCACCACCACCACCACCACCACCACCACCACTGCTACAAGTCCTCCCAGCAGTGCCGCTAGTCCTGAGGAGGTGGATAATGTTCCGGTGAGTACAGTTTCTTTATGACGACAGTTGCAGTCTGTTTAATTTTACTTTATTTAATCAATTCTATGTAGCACTGTGCTCGTCTCGACATTTTAGTGGCACTTAGCACCCTATTATATTACAATACCCACTATAATATGGGATCTATCTAACAACAACACTCATTATCTCTACAATATCAAATGTAGGATGTAACTATGTAGGATGTAGGATGTAGCTTTGTTGGGTATGTAGGATGTAACTATGTAGGATGTAGGATGTAGCTTTGTTGGGTATGTAGGATGTAGGATGTAACTATGTAGGATGTAGGATGTAGCTTTGTTGGGTATGTAGGATGTGGCTATGTTGGGTATGTAGGATGTAGGATGTAGCTTTGTTGGGTATGTAGGATGTGGCTATGTTGGGTATGTAGGATGTAGGATGTAGCTTTGTTGGGTATGTAGTGTTACACGAGACACATATTTCCCAGTAAATTACCCTCATTAACCCGCCTCGACAGACGTGGTAACTCTTTAGCTGTCACTTTTCTGGTTCCTGCAGGATTTAGGAACAAGATAGCCTAAAAATGGGGAAAAAAACTTTGTCCGTGTGGTTGTATATGCGTCTATAATTTATAGGTTATCTTGACGCTTTGCAATAAAGTCAACGTCACTTCTCTCCGCACGTGCCATATATTGTAGTTCGTGTAGGAAACTTTTAACGTTGTATCTTAATTTTGCAAGAGAAAAGGGTCTTCTCTTCTCGTCAAACTGCCTGCACACCCTAGCTTGGAATGTATACACCTGCACCCTGGACTGTATACATAGTTTTATCAATATTTACAATATTTACCTAGAACAATTACCTGAGCTGGTGCCAGCTACTCACCATTAATAAAACTCACTATCTGCTGCATCACACCGTATCACAAACAATAACAATATCATTTATAGTTATTTATTGCAATAATACCTTCCCTTGTCTGTCTTGATTGACTCATCTATTCGAATGCATTGTGGCATTGTTTAACACTTATTTTAATTCTTGCTGTTAAACTTTTGGGCGGCCTGTATACGGCTCAGCACGGCATTGTTTTGACTTGATGCTCCCAGCTTGAGAAATAGCAGTGATTCATTCCGCCGGACCTGCCTCCACCAGGACTTAACTTGTGTTTAAAAGTATAGCATTTATTCATTCTCTTAAAAGGAGAAAGTTGACTTTGTTATTGTGGGACCAGGAAACAACATGTACGGAATGCTGGCAAGCTGCTGTTTGTTAGATGTTGGTGCTCGGAGGGGGGGGGGGGGGGGGGGGGGGGTACTCGGTTTTAAGGGCCGTTAATCCCTCCGAGTTATCATGTTAAAATAGAAGAAGCCGCTCAGATCAAGCAGGTACGCACAAATATTAGGAATCTTTGCTTTAAAATGAGACCCACTCCGTCCCAGTGCAGTATTGAGTGTGATATACAGTGTTGAGGGACCCTTGCACAGTGGGCCACCACTGTGTTTGTTACAAAACAACAACCCACTAAGCAGTACAATACACGGTACATGTGGTGCTGTGTGTACTAATCTGAACTGTCCCTGATGAGCATACCAGTAGACACTGTTACATACCTTAGCCAGCCTATTCATGTAACTAGACCATAACAAGACGTGTTAAGAATGCGTAGTGTGGTAGTATAGTAGTGTGCACATGTGAATAACTCCCAATCAAGGATCTAGCCAAGTCTGGGAGGTGAATTCTAGGGGTAGACTCCGAAAAGGACACCGAGTTCTCAGAGGCAGATAATATCCATAATAAATATGAAGACTGGTCAATGTAACACCCCGAGCTCAGGAGGCCGGGCCAGCTTATAATATAGAACAAGTTACTAGTAGGACTGTCAGAAGTAGGACTGTCAGTTTCATCCCTGATCTGTCGACACCAGTTCAGCTGTACCGGCAGTGTACCGAGGGTACACTGCACTGTACACTGTACCCTCTGTACACTGTTTCTTCAGTGTGTAGTGTGTATGTGTTAAGTGTGAGAGCTTACATTCTTACAGGGCGCTAAATTGAGAAACTTGTGTTTACAGTGGCCCAAGATACTCTTATCTTTGTTAGCATGAGAATTTAGCTAATGATAGCGGTTAATTGGTGTTAACAGTTTGAAATCTCAGCCGGAAGTTAACGTTATATATTGACAGAATTAAAGATATGCTGATGATGGGCATCCCTCAACGAATACCGAAGTTCAGGTATTTAAGTTCAGGTATTTGTTAACAGCTCTGTGCTCTGTGTTCTGGGTGCTCCAGCTCAATGTTGGGTAGCTCCTCACTCTCATAATACCACTGTAAAACAGGAAACCAGACCTATAAGCGGGAGTTGTTGTTGCATCATTGTGTTAACAGTAGACGGTACGTCAGTACGCGGGGTACGTCAGTACGTGGGGTACGTCAGTACGCAGAGTGCGTCAGTACGCAGAGTGCGTCAGTACGCAGAGTGCGTCAGTACGCGGGGTACGTCAGTACGCGGGGTACGTCAGTACGTGGGGTACGTCAGTACGTGGGGTACGTCAGTACGCCGCGCGGGGTACGTCAGTACGCGGCCCGGGGTACGTCAGTACACAGGGTACGTCAGTACGCAGAGTGCGTCAGTACGACTGACACATTAAGGGTGAATATGGACCGCAGTAAATGACAGGGCTGCACAGTAATTAGTTATGTTCCCATCATCACGGGAGAAAGTAACTCATATACCTGTCTCCTTCTCCAGGAATACCAGGATGTAGTGCGTATTACTACCAGGATATCGAACGAGTCACAAACAAGTCACTTACTTTACTTTTACAGCTCTATTTAGCATTGCAGTCCTAACTTCACTAGTCACAAACAAGTCACAAACAAGTCACATGGTATATATATTATATAACTGTGTGGTCAATACAGGGGTTGAGTTAATGCTTGCTGGGCTCTAGGTATAATATGTCAATATAATGCTCGCAGAATCGCAGGTTTTCTCTCAAGAGAGATTCGCTGCACGGTTTACTGACAGGATGTAATAATAATTCCACGAGTCATATCGCATACTCAACCTCCAGTTTCGAGTGCCCAAAACTAGACATCCCAACTTACCAACCCTGTACATTCTGTATATCTCTGTCTGGTTTAATGTTTCACCTGCTTTCGACTCTATCCTATAGACAGTTAAACTATCATTGTTCATTTTTATCTCGACATTTTATGTTATAGAGTTAGATCACTAAAAAACCCCACTAAGTTTTAGAGAATTTAATACGTAATACTCGTCTAGACCTACAGTAGTTTTTACCATTATACGTCAATATGGGGGGGTGTCTGCTGCAACGAACAGGTGACCCCATGTTATACTGTCTATCAAGCTAGAATACTGATGAAAGAGCTAGAGTAATGTATAAATAAAGCAGTGAGCTCCGCCCTACTGCCTGCTGCATCTTATGCAGATACTGTAGATAGCATTATGCTAGACCTGAGAACATGGAATGAGAATAGCAGCTACAGTAATACCCCACCAGAGTGCAATACTACCCCACACCAGAGTGCAATACTACCCCACACCAGAGTGCAATACTACCCCACACCAGAGTGCAATACTACCCCACACCAGAGTGCAATACTACCCCACACCAGAGTGCAATACTGCCCCACACCAGAGTGCAATACTACCCCACACCAGGGACGTAGCCAGGATTTTTCTTTGAGGGGGGCTGTCGGCGAGCGAAGCGAGCCGACGCGTCCAATCAAGCTGCGCAGCGAGCGAAGCGAGCAAGCTGTGGCAGGGGTCTGGGGGCGCAGCCCCCAGCGGGGTCCAGGGGCGGAGCCCCTTGGCGGGGGCTACGGGGGCGCAGCCCCCCGGAAATTTTTTGCGAAACAGGGTGTTTTAGACGACATTTGGCATTAAAGAAATTTGTAGGACAGCAATAAACTGGGATTGAAAAGAATCAAGTACTCACGTAAATTTGGTAACTTCACAACAGCAATCTGCATTCTCCAATCAGAATTTACGACTTACTCAGGCCTCATCGTCTTAAGATTTTTACATTTCCTACGGTCTAGGGGACACTATTGACTATAATTATAGAAGTCTTCTAGAATGTTTGCTTGGATTTAATGACATATATTTACTAATCCACAGTTCAAATCTTTGACTGACTGCAGTCATAAACACAGCCCAGTTACCAGGCGACCATGGGGACTAGGGGGCTTATCTTTTTTCTGGGGTTCGATTTTTTCCGGGGGGGGCTGCCGCCCCCCTAGCCCCCCCCCCTGGCTACGTGCCTGCCCCACACCAGAGTGCAATACTGCCCCACACCAGAGTGCAATACTACCCCACACCAGAGTGCAATACTGCCCCACACCAGAGTGCAATACTGCCCCACACCAGAGTGCAATACTGCCCCACACCAGAGTGCAATACTATCCCACACCAGAGTGCAATACTGCCCCACACCAGAGTGCAATACTGCCCCACACCAGAGTGCAATACTGCCCCACACCAGAGTGCAATACTACCCCACACCAGAGTGCAATACTGCCCCACACCAGAGTGCAATACTGCCCCACACCAGAGTGCAATACTACCCCACACCAGAGTGCAATACTGCCCCACACCAGAGTGCAATACTGCCCCACACCAGAGTGCAATACTGCCCCACACCAGAGTGCAATACTACCCCACACCAGAGTGCAATACTGCCCCACACCAGAGTGCAATACTACCCCACACCAGAGTGCAACACTACCCCACACCAGAGTGCAATACTACCCCACACCAGAGTGCAATACTACCCCACACCAGAGTGCAATACTACCCCACACCAGAGTGCAATACTGCCCCACACCAGAGTGCAATACTACCCCACACCAGAGTGCAATACTACCCCACACCAGAGTGCAATACTACCCCACACCAGATGCTGTAGTGAGTAGTGACCACCTGCCTACATTCTCTGTTATTTGCCCTAACATGCAGCCATTACAGAGAGCCTACACAGTACACACA